AGGTTTGAAGTTGGAGAAAAAGTATGGACTCGTTTGTTTGACGGGAGGGGCAAGAAATGGGCCAAGGGTATTGTTGGGGTAAACAGAGGTTCAAAGTTGAATTTGATTCAATTAGAAATGGGCGGCACAGTTATGCGCCACAATGATCATATACGACCGCGGGAGTAAATCTGAGGTACCTCATATGATGATATAAATATGAGATTATATATATAAATAAAATGAAGGTGCATCCCGAAGAATTAGACTCGTTTCCGAGCAAATATATAATGTGTAAATGAAGGTTTGTAACATATTGAATGTGGGAATGGGAAGTTAAAGGATCAAATAGGAGAGGGCTCATCTTAAAGTGGTGAATATATATATTTACGCAAAGTTAAAGCATGAAGGAGTAAAATGTACGTGAACGGTCGGTAACCTTTGTGTTTGAGTTTATGTATTATTATATGATGGTATTAGAATTTATTGATAGATGTTTATGTAAAAAAGTGAAATTGAATAAGGAGGTTATCTCGGTAATATTACGAGAAATTGAAGTATATGTATGTATATTTAATGTTAAGTTAAACTGGTTTAATGTTCCGGCTGTCGGTAATAAACAAGGAAAAAAGATTGAAATTGTGGTAATATATGTATTGTAAATGAATAAAAGTGTAAAAAAATAAAAGGAATAGGAAAGTTGTAATTCATTTTGTGAATACATTTTTGTTCATAGCCTTATAGGATTTTTGTTCATAGCCTTATAGGATTTTTGTTCATAGCCTTATAGGATAAATCACGGTTGTTGAACATTGAATGGATCATTCACATTGAAATTAGCTATTTTTTTGAAATATTCAAGGTAATCATGATATTATTGAATTAATTATATAAAATTGAAGGACTTTATAAAATTTTATAAATTTGTTATAGCAATTTGATTGATCATGCAACACCGTTATATATCGATTATTTTTTTAACAAAAATATATATATGCCGACATGCCATGAGCCCATAAAGGGGTGGCATGTCGTATTTGTAAATACGTGAACGTTTTATATTTTTTTTTTACGCGAAATGCCAATCAACCAATTAAAATAAGGTTGATTGGATAGAAAGATTAGATGTAATATATTATATGTGGATTATTATTATATTATTAATTAATTTTTTTTTATAAAAAATTACGGATTTTGAACATTATTAAAAAAATTAATTTTTTTTATATATAAATTTATTTTTTTTGAGAAATGAAATTTTCTTTTGAATAAAATTTTTGGATTTATATTGTAGTTTTATTTGTCTTTGGATTTGATAATTTCATATAATTCTTGACGATTCGTTTTTTTAGAAAGTTTGATTAAGTTTCTAGGATTTGGTTGGGGTAGATTTTAGATAGGTTTTAGTTTTAGTTTGTGTTTGTAGTTTTTTTTAGAAAGCACCTTTCGCAGTCGACAGTACTGCGGGATAAACTATCCACAGAGTTAAGGATTTATTAAAATTTTGATTAGGAATTTATCAATATATTGTTGAAGCCTGGCAATCATTTTATATTGATTTATTTTGAATCTTTGGCAGGTCATTTCATTTGATTTTTGTCAAATTGTGCATTTAGATTTTTAGACCATTCTTTCTGAATAAAGAATATATAGGAAAGAATTTCTAACATAAAAAATTATTATTTCAAATTAATTCGAATCTTTTTACACGTGTTTTAAAGATATCCATTAGGCGGTACTGGAATAATTATATATTTTTAATCTTACTAGTTTTGGATTTTTTTAAATAGTATATTTTAAATAAAAATGTAATTTCTGAATCGAGCGACCTTTAAATATTTCTACATAGAGCTTCTACATTAGTAATGGGAGGGATTTAGCTCCAATTTTTTTGAAGAGGAGTGGGGTCAGGGTTGCCATGTTAAAATTATCAAATTGCGGGAGAAATTTAGTATTTTGCCGGAGAAATATGGAAATTGCTGTAGAAATATAAAAATTGCTAAAAAAAATTTTTGCGGCCTGCTGGCCTTCACCCGGAATATTGAATTGACTTAATTATCCGCCTATTATTTTTTATAATTAATTTATATAAATACAATGGTGATAACTATTTTTCAAAATAAAATAAAATCTTGATTTATTAAAATATATTAATTTATAAAAAAACCAACGATTCTTTTTAAATATAAAAGAATGATAACAAGATAAAATTTTATAAAAAACAAACGATTTTAATTTTACAATGTAAAAAATATATTTTATGCGAATGTCCCGCAAAACATCCTCAATTGGTAATCTACCTTGTGTGTGTATAACATTATAGGGATAGGCGTTTAATTATCAGGTATCACGTTTAAATACATAATTGTACTCATTTCAATGATAATTATTTTATTTTATTTATTATTGTTCAATCACATTATTATAATCAGTGCAGGAGAGTGTATCTACATCCATTGCAAAACAAAAATATTCTCCAAAAATAAGAAATAATACAGATGCAACTACAGTTGCGGCAATTGTAATCACTTATCTTGTAGTACAACATTCACAGAGCTACTAATCATTACAATGTGCCTAGAATCTTTCCCCATAATATTTAACGACTCCAAGATAAATGAAAACTTTACTTGTAGAACAAAAATGAACAAGGATATCATCAATGTTAAACTTTACTTGTAGAACAAAAATGAGCAAGGATATCATCAATGTTTTAGAATAAGGAGAAGACATACTCGCATATTTTTTCCAAGCATGGGGATTTATTGTTATTACGAAAGAATTCAACCCATTTCTCCTTTATATTTAGACCATCTAGCCTTAAGTATTCTGGCTAATCATAAAAAATAGAGTGAATTACAATCTCCTCAAACAAGACATCAATGTTTTTCATTATTTTTAATATATTTATTAAATTACAAAAACCCTCAATTGATGGATTATGTTGGTTATAATATTTATCCATTTGTAAATAGTGTTATTAAAATTAAATTTTAATTGTAAATATTCTAAAATTGTCTTAATAAAAATATCTGCTTCATTTAAAAATATATTATTTAGACTATTATTTGAACATTTTAATATAATATTTTCAGCAATCGCGCCATAAAATTTATTATCAATTTTTAACTGTAGAGTTGAACAGAGCTGTAGCATGATTTTATTAATAAAGAATATTCTGATTACAACTGAATATTAACTGCATGAAGTAGATTTTTTACATGTGAAACTAATCCCAAATATGCTTCTGCCATTTCATAACCCAATTTTTCAAAATTTTAGGACAGCTTTTAAAATCTTGGTTTGTAAAATTTTAAAATTCTATCGATGACAGGTATTAATGTTAACCACCTGATAGGTACTTATCGCAACAACTCACACCACTCCAAATCAGATCACTCTACCAACTCTTTTAGTTGATGAACTAAATTCGTTAAAACATTTCATCACAATTATTTCGACATCCACAGATAGTACATTCATTGCCTTCTTACAAGAATCATGATATACATGGCATATACAGCCAATTGTTATTAATACATAATTGTGCTGCCTCAATTAGGTAAATACACTTTGGTTCCGCCAAAATTTACAGAGGCATTATCTGCGCAGATAGCTGACATGCAATTCATTGATAACCCTGAATCAGCTATATTTACATTATGTGGTTAGCTACATCGTTGGATTTTTCACTATCCGAGGAAAAATTTTTTAACAGTTTTATTGAAATGTTCTTGGGAAATGTTTTAATATTTCTCTTGTTAGATGCATCTGTTACAATTGCATATGTATGCCCATCTTTCAAATCGTCTAGAATTGACCTCTAGGATTCAGTTACTAAAACCAAATAAGGTTTGCACTTATACTGGAGTCATTAAATATCATAGGAAAAAGATTCTACCGACATTGTGATGATATAGCTCTGTGAATGTTGAACTACATGATAGGTTTATATTTCCGCAGCTGTAGTTGAATCTGTATTATTTATTATTTTTGGAGAATATTTTTGTATTGCAATCGTTGTTGATATACGATATACTCCCCTGTACTGACTTATATGAATGAAATTATGTTGATTTATTATTGGATGAAAATACAACAGGATAAAAAGAAATTTACAAAGTAGACATGTTTTTCGAAATATTTAAAATTTATTTTAAAAATATAAAAATAATCAATTACTGTCTCTCAAAATTATTATTTATATATTAAAAACGTTAAAATACTTTTTAAAAAAATTGCGGGAGAAATTAAAAAATTGTGGTAGATTTTTGCGGGAGATTTCCAATTGCGGTAGTTTTGCAGGAGATAGATGTCTTCGTGTAAACCAAAAAATTGCGGAAGTCTCCTGCTGATAGGGGGAGACATGGCAACCCTGGGTGGGGTATGGATCTATAAGTAATTCTTTTCAAAATATGGACATTAGATAATAATTAGAATAATCCTCATTAATAAAATTCAATTACACATATATATAGGTAGATTAAAATGAATATAAATACCGGCAATATAAAGTTTATAAGTATCAATTATATATTTCTAACTGTAATAAGATGCAGTAACTAGTTACATGTGTTGTAATTGTAGAAATATATGTATATATTTATATGTATATTAACACATTAATTATTAGAAATGTCAATCATAGGAAAATATATAAATAATATATCTGATTAATTGAAGAATTATTTTTTCTTTGTGCTTAATTTTTTTCCTTGTGAAAACATTTAATAAAGAAATTTGAAAATTGAAATTTTATGATTATTTTATTTTAGTTATTTTGACAGTTATATTATTTATATATATATATACATATATTTCTAAGATAACAATGTACTTCGTGAATCGTGATACTTTCAAGTTCTGCATTTTAATTTATATTAAAAAGCTCATAATAGAACAACTCTACCAAAATTCAATATAAGTCAATATGCAAATATATTTATTTATATATAATTAATAATAAGAGAAGAGTTTTTGCAATTTTTTTTATATAAAAAATGGATATATATTTTTAAATTTTATAATTGGTTAATTATATTTTTTATCGTGGTCTGAAAATAGGAAATATTAACATATATCCCGGGTTTATTAACTTCCCCGCATTCGTAACCATATGATACAATTCCAATTAGTATCCACTGCCTATTTTTAAAGGCACTTACATTTCTATTTTTATATGGGCATAGAAATGGCCCACCACTATCGCCGGTACACGTATCTTTTCCACCTTTTTGATAGTTTCCTGCACAAAATTGTGTAGGTGCCAGTCGTCGTTGACCACTATAATTAATTGTGAAGTTTAATAGAAGACTATTGCACAAAGAGCGATTAATTATTGGCATGCACACTTGATTTAAGCTAAGAGTGTATTTTATAAAATATTTTAGGGTTGATCCCATTCCTAATACATGACATTTTTTAAGATCAATATCTTTTTTTGACAAGCTTGGTGCTGGGAGACATATAGGTTTTATAGAAATATTATATTCTAAAGGTTTTGCTAATCTCATAAGTGCGACATCATATGATATATCATGATAAAAGTATGGATGAATCCATACCATATTTACTCTGAGCATATTAATGCTAGAATTTCTAGAATTTAACCTTTTAAAACCAACATATATTTCATAATTATCTTTGTCATATAATTTGGAGTCATCTATCTTATCGTTAACGGTAATGTTAAACATACAATGAGCGGCTGTTAAAATCCATTTATTATTTAAAATGGTTCCTCCACATTTATACCCAGTTTCATGTCTTAAATGAATGGCAACAAACCAGGGCCACGAATGGGGCTTTGCGCGACGACCTCCAGTTTCCTTTCCACAATCAAAAATGATAGGTCTATATATGTCGTTGGATATACCACATTCCAAATTTATTTCATCGAATAGGTTAAGAATAATTAAACCAACTCTTTTAAATATAGAAAAATATTATTATTTGGATAAAATAAAATTAAAATTAACATCAATGAATATTGGCGTATATAGTGGATTAACATAGGGCATGTTCCTTGGTATACCATGAAAAATTAGAGAGGTCTTTTCGAATTTTTATAACGTTGAAACTTAAAAATATAAACAGAAATGCTATACTTCAAAAAAAATTGAAAAATATCTACAAATATAATAACAATTGAGAAACATTTCCTGTTTACTAACACACTAAACAATAATATTTACCCCTAACCCCTACCAAATCAAAATTATAAAAAAATAAGAAAAGTAAACAAAAAAAATAAAATTGGCATATTCCCCTACCCACTTTACGATCATTCATTCTTTCCACTTTTATTCTAATTATGGAGTCTCGAAACTCACAATCCCTTTAATTATCATGTGTCTTTTTCTCCACTACGGTAAAAGTGCTTGAATAGACCAAACATCACCAAGACTGCCTAAATAAAGCAGTCATGAGTGTGTTATTCAAATGGTTGTTAAGTATACCTTCTATAACTTCAGCATTTTATTGAGTTTTATTTTCCTAAACTTTGGCAGGGCCCTGCACATAAAAAATTATGATAAAGCAAATATGTAACATATTAAATATCTTAATATCATCTCCGTTAAAGTTGGTCAAACAATTGGAAACACTAATTCTATAATATATACCATTGGTTTGTGCTTTATTAGTAGTTTAGGTTTAATCAGCATAATTATTTTTACATTATGAACCCAATTTTGGTTTACCTAAATAGCGTTTGCATGAAAGGATATTAACGGGATGCCAACCTTCCTCAAAAACATATACCTACCTCTCTAAATTTCCACATTTTTAATTATGCCTTTTTAATTATAATGGTATTCCCTTCTTAAATTTTAATAAGAATTACTTAATTTATTAATGCTCTACCACCAACTATCAAAATAATGCAAATAAGAGTTATATTATGAATTTTGTAATAAATCATATAAAATATTATTTATAGATATTATATTAAAAATAGAATGGAACATTAGAATTAATTAATATAAAAATTTGATGTGATTATTTTTAAATAAAAAATAACTAATAAGTCGTAGTCGTATTATTACAAATATAAAATTAAAAAACCCCTGATGTAATGAATGCATTAATATACTATATTGTTTGGCATAAATATGAGTTTAGTGATAGAATGTCTGACCCTTTTGAATGTAGCAGAAAATAATCTATAAATGATTTATTTAGTAAATAAATATAATTGTTTGCTATATTTCAATTTGGTCGATGTTTAGCAATATCATTGTATTATAATATGTCCTATTTCATCTAAATATTAAATAGATAACTCCATAATAAATTTATTCTACCCCAGCTAATTCCCTTTAAATCCCTACCATCCTCAAAAATATTGAATGCAAAATCACCTCCCCCTCCCTCCGCTCACATAGACGCTAAACCTAACGATCAAAAGTGAATGAATGCATTTATTCTAAAAATTTTATCAATGTTTGATGATTAATTGTATGCCTCATGTTTGGTTGACAATATAAATAAATTCAAAAAACAATGCCAAGAATAGAAAATTAAAAAAATATATATATAGTTTGTGCTTATATTTTGGAGTCTCATATTCCGATGCAGTCAGGGCCGTAGCCCCGGGGGGGGGAAGAAAAAGGGGGCAGATACTCCCCCCCCCCCAAAAAAAAAATCTTCGGCCCCCATAAATTTTTCCGGCCCCCTAAATTGAAAAAATTTTTTTTGATTATTTTTATATTTTTAAAATAAATTTTAAATATTAATTCAAAAACATGTCTTATTTGTAAATTTCTTCCTATCCTGTTTTATTTTTATCCAATAATAAATCATCATTCATTCATATTTTATCATTTTCTTGTGTGTTTGTTTGTGTATAACATTATATAGGCGCTTAATTATAACGTTTAAATTGTACTTATTTCAATGATAATTATTTTATTTATTATGGTTCAATCACAATATTATTATCTTTTGAAGGTTGATATAGATATGGGTGCAAATCATAAAAAACCGGGATTTTCTGAAGCTAATCAAGTGGTTACTCAAGGATATTATATCAAATATAAGGAAACAGATTGATACCGATCCGTAAATATTTATTTAAAAAAGGTTTTTATTAAATTTTTATAAAATTTGGTAATTATTGTGCAGTGTTGCTAAATAGCTCGATTTGGGCCGATTTTTAAAAATGGGCTGATTATGATCTTAGACAAAATAATATTATCTAAGCCCGATATAACCAGTTATTTAAAACAGAGGTGAATATTTTAACATTATAAAGAAAATAGTGAGATAACAACAATTTTGGTAAGCCACCAAATTAATCGTACTTTACGATCTTAAATCAAGATTTCATGATATTTCTTAACATACAGGAGCTACCTTTTCGTGGGACTGGTTCAACAAAAATTACGGATGCTGCAAATGTAGAAAACATAATTTATTATTTCTGAACTTTTTATAGCAATGTTTTCATACACCATCCAAAAAGATCCAGAATTAGATAAAATTACGAAATTTATATACAAAAATACGCGATATACATCACCCGATTTAAAACGAAGTAATCTATTATGGTAGATACGATGCTTGATTATATTTCAGATAAATATAATAAAAGTGAGATGCCTTTTATTTTGTCTTAAGCCTGATGTGACAAAAGATGCATCAAGTTTTGAAAACCTGAGCATAATTATATATATTTTTTCTGAATAAGTCCAAGAAAATTTAATAGGGAGTATTAATTTACAGTGTCTTTCTGCTGAAAGCATTACTAATTGCATTTTAAAGAAACTTAATGAGTTAAATATTAATTCAACGAATATGATAAACCAGACATATGATGGTGCAAACGTTATGTCTGGCCGAAATGAAGGAGTGCATACCCTACTTCAAAAAAAATTAATAAAAAAGTTCCTTTTATACATTGCTACAACCACATGTTGCATCTTGTAGTTCAAAATTGGTATAATAATATTGTTATCACATCTAATTTTTTTAATTTATTCAATGCATTGCATAATTTTTTAGGCGGTTTATCGTATCCTGTAAATATGCAGGCCATACTCTTAGAGACCTTTAGAGTGGACTGGTCATTTAGAAACATCTCGCATCATTTATGTTAATTTTGAGGCGGTGAAGTATTAGTTTACTTTTCTAATAGTACTTTTAATTCAGAGGTTAGCACTCATGATTCTGTCAAAGCTTATTGTCTTTTATCTCAATACGTTAATATAAATTACATTATATTAGCCATTATTTATGAGATATTAATAACAATAGATCCACTATGTATCTACAGTCAGTAGGTACTTATCAAGTGGATGTAAAAATTGTATTGATTCCACTATCAATATATTTAAAAAATATAAGAAACAATAATTCTATTGATTTGATTAGAATAAAGGCTGAAAAACTTTTAACAAAATTTAATCTTACTCCCCAAAAATCATCAAGCGTACGTAAAACGCCTATAAATTTCCAAGATTTATTAGTTGAAACCAAATTACAATTTGATTACGAAAACGACTCCAATTGGAGTTCTTTAAAATAGAATTAGTATTAAATTATTGATTACTTTGTTGATAATTTTTTAGATAAGGTGATTATAATCATCTATCAAGTTTTAATGCATTGTCCCCCTTTGATAGTGAATATTTTATATCGTACAAAATGGCCCGATTAGAATATTTATTAAACTCAAATGAAAACTTTACATCATGAAATAAAAATTGGCTAATAGATTATTAGCTGCAGAAGTTAAGCAAAAACATAATTTTGAAAATATCCTAAATATTATGTATAAAAAAATATCATCAGGCATTTAAAGAATTGTATAAATGCTACTCAGCATTGGAGTAACAACGGCTTCTTGTGTGGCTTCTTTCTCAATAATAAAGAGAGTTCTATCGAGCACTAGAGGGTCAATGAAAGATCAAAGTAAGCAAAATTTAGTATTGATGGCTTATGAAAAAATTTAACACGAAATTTATCCTTTAATTCATTTATGTTAAAATTTAAAAATAAAAATCATCGTATTATATTATAGTATTATTTTTGTATGTTCATATTATAATATTATTTTGTATTCATAAAACATTAATAATTTTTTAATAAAAATAGCAAAAAATTTCTATGAATGCTTAATTATTTGTTTTATTTTTTTTTAAATAGTGGCCCTCCTAAGTAAGCAGCTGACCTTCCTAACGGAAAATTCCTGGCTACGGCCCTGGATGCAGTCCTAAGCATATAATTGATAGAACTCTTAAAAGAACCAATTCTAAAGCTTATGCCAATATTTAATTTAACCAGTATACATTTTAGTTTATGTTTCAATCCGTTTAGTAAACAGTATAAAATAAAAAAAATTATTAGCAAAATAATAATCAAAAATTGGTATCAAGATTTAATATAGAACAAATAATATAGCGCTAAAGCATTTATAAATAAAATTAAATAAATAAAAAATAAACTTAAAAATAACTATTATCATTATGAAATTAGGTCTTTAAGTCCACATATTACAGGTCATTGGCTATCATTTTTTAAAGAATAATTTTGGCTTTAGCCTAATATGCTTTTCTTTAAAAATTTAAAATTATAGCCATTATTTTAAAAAACTATTGACTCACTTATTTTTCTTTCAAATTATTGTTTATTTATTGTGATATATTATATTCATTTTTAGAGGTAAAGGAAGTGGGGGGGGGGGGTTTATATTAGCTAATGATATTCATGAGAACAGGCAATTTCTGAAGGGTGATACCCTTGTCCTTCCCCCTTGCATACACCTACCCTATGGATAGATCTATTAGACTTCAAACTATAGACACTATTATTTGCATATCAAAGGCGAGTATACCGTCAATCCTTGAATCTATGGATATAAACAAAGGTGAAAACAAATGTCTCGATGTAATAATTCCCATTCCCTGGGATATGGGCCAATCCCT